GCGCACTCCACTGCCCTTTCAGGGTCCAGGGATGCCGGCGGTGATGCCCGGGACGGCACCACCGATGCAGGGTATCAATCACGCATATGAACAGTGCTGGCCGGCCTGCCACCGCCAGCAGCCACCATGTTACTGCCCCTGTAGAACCAGCCCGCCGCACCTTAACAATCACGTTGCACACTTGTTCGGGCCCCCCTGCAGCCGCGCCCGAGCGCGCCACCAAGTTGGCGTTCAAGCCGCCTGCCATGATCGCAGCCAACACCAGCGCCGCCAGCAGGGCCAGCGGCAGCGCCCGCGGCCCGCGCTGCCGCGGTTCTGACATGGCCGCCGAGTCCAGGCAGAACGCCTGGCCCGCTTGCGCCGAACGTCCTCAGGCACGGGTTGCGCCAAGCCCGCCGGCCTGCAGCAGCCCCTCCTCCCACCTGCAGCCCTGAGGTTGGAGCCAGGCGCTCCTGTACGAGCGGGGGGCGATGAAATAAATACAGCCCACGGGTGAGACTTGGTGGGCGCTGCTCCTCAATTACTTGCTGCAGTTGCCAGCACGAGCAGGCAGCACCATGCAGGAGGGCCAGCACGCGTGCGGGGTGTCCAGCAGCAGAGAGCAACCGCAGCCATCTGCATCGACTCGGACACGCCCGCGGCGCGCCCTGTGCGCCCTGTCCACCTGCGGCCCCGGTGACTCCTGAGCAAGTAGTAGTATCGCAGCGAGGATGGGCCTGCTACAACTCAATGTACAGAGCCGCTGCGCTAGACAATGATCTGCTCATCGGCGCAGTCGGGACGCGATTGCTCAATGTTTGTGAGTTATTATCAGTCCAAGCAGTGTGGAAGGTATGGTTCTGGGACTTCCAGAGCCTTGGGGCTTGCGCGGGACACTTGGTCAGCTGTGCAGTGTTTCAATGCTGTGTGCTGGTCCGAATCGAGGGCCAACAGTCTCAATTTCTACGCAATAGTGCCCTGTGCAGGCGACCGTCTCGACCTGGCTCTGCACACCCAGGTCACCCGCGGCGGTGCCACTCCCTGGACTCATGGACCCGTGGCTGGTGCACATGGTCGCATGCCATTGGTCCCGTTCGGACGCGAGCGACTAGCAGTGAGTGAGACAATATTTGGGATTCAGTGCTGATACACTATGCAGCGTGGGTCAGGGCGCTACGTGCATGGGGCAGCCAGGCTCTTGACTGCAACTTACAAGCATACGGCCGCTGCTGAGGCCAATAAGCCAATGCACATGCTGGGCCGATCATACGCCCGCTGCCCCTGCACTCATGCGCGCCTGCCCATGGCTGATGCATCGCACGTGCACGCAGGGGGGTGCTTGAGGTTACACCACCACCGACCCCCCTGCCATCGCGTGATACGTCTTGGCCAAGCGTACCAGGAACATGTACGCACACGAATCTGCCTGCAAAGCGCTTGGTGCCAGTGAAATTGTCCTCGTACGCGCAAAATCTGCCAGCCATGTGTGGTCATGCCCGAGCAAGCATGTTATCGGCTCTGCCGTATTGGGGCACAGAAATCATGCCCTGTCAACGGGCCCTCTTGTGCACTTTCACCCCAGCAGAAGCTTGCGGTGTGGTGGGGCCAGAGCCTGCACCATGCCTGGCGGCTGCTGGATGACCTCTCCGGCATTGCGGGTTTCCGCGTAGCCCAGGCCCTTGAAGAAGGCGGCCATGTCAAAACTCAGCACCTGTCACGGTACGGGGAGGTCATCACAGTCGAGGATAGAGCGGTCAATGTAAAATCTATGTGAAATCAACGGCGGGTGCGGCAGGATGGGAGTGCATCAGGAGAC